CCCCCCAGTCGGACGGGGTGGAGGGGACTGATTAGGGGTCGGGCCTCCGGTGTCCGGCTCTCCTGTCAGTCGGCGGCGCGAAGTACAGCACGCCGGAGCACAAAGCCACGCGCCGTCGAGAGGACGACACTGACGGACTTCGAGACCGCCCCGAACGCCGGCCAACATGATGAAATCAGTAAGATCGGACGCCGATCCCCCCCCCCCTCTCCCCGTATTTTACGGTAAAAAAAGGGCATTTTGGATTTCAAGCGATCTGCTTGGTTTTCAATAGACAGTTTTTAAGGAATTTGTTTGAATTTCAAGATGTTCTTTTTACCGTGTTGTGTGACGAACGTTTGGTTAGACCGCACAGTGCCGGTAGTCCAGGAGGGTCGTGCACTTAGAGATGACAGATCACTCGCACTCGGGAGGCGCGTGTCTGGAAGTGTTGGGGCGGTGCGGTACCCGGAGACAGGCCAGCACCGAGCGGGGAAGTCCTAGTCCTACCCCCCAAAAAGGAGGTCAGGGCCTCCTGTTGAAGGCGCGCGAACTAGATTCGCACAACTCCGTCATGTTGTTGACTGTTGAGGTGTGCGCAGGGTGAAAGCCGGGGCGGCGCACCTAACTTGGCCCATTTGGGAAGGTGAGGGAGGGGGGGGGCACAAATTAGGTCAGTTTTAGGAAGTGGGATACGTCACTTTACTACGAACTGGGGGTTGTAAAAGAAAATTGTTGGGAAGTCCGTAATGAGTAGATGTAACCACTTGGGTAATATTATTTTCCCTCTGGTGGGGCAGTTTCATCATAGCCAGGGCATGCAAACTTAGTATTTTTAGGAAATGTTTGTGTTTATGTCTCACACACTCTAGTCAATTGAGGGATATAAACACCAAAATTTCCACAAAAAAAAAAAAACACGTTCTACAAGTTTGTATCTGATCACAGGGTATGATAAGCTACTATGACCAAACCTAATATCAAAGCCGTCGAGCAAAATATCTCATTCCTCCTAAATGGCTCGTATCCTGTGTGTGGGCCGCGGCCCCTTAGGGTGGCTCAGCCTTGTGGCCATCCGTCACCCGGTACAAAAGGGGTCTCGGCGGGCCTGGGGGTCGCCGCCTCACCTTAGCGTAGCCGCCCACCAGTCGCTCCCCGGGCCCGACCAGGATCGTGCGCGCACCGCGCTCCACTAGCACCCCTGCAGCCGCCATGGGTGAACGCCTAGGGTCCGGAGGAGGCGCGAGCCAGGGGGTGAGTGGAGTGGACGTCGTCGAGCACATCAAGCAGGTCGGCGTAGCCGTGCAGCTCCGGAGGGGCGCTTCACTCGAAAAGACAATACTGGGGACTGCGTCTCAAAATCAGTGCACCGTGTGTTAGGGCCAACACAACAGAAGGCGGGTTTGCCTACTCGCTCCACCAGTAAAGGCAAGGCGCCATAGTCCCTAGGGTTTGCACACCGTGTGTGGCCCCGACACAGGGTAAGTTACACCTTCCAAAACAGTCAGAAAAAAATACCCAAAAAGTGAAGGAAAACTCAGAGGAAAAAAAGGTCAAGAAAAGACAGAAAATCTGTGAACACTTGAATCTAGAGTGAAGTACCCCTCGCCCTCGGATGCTCCTCAAGAAGATGAACGAGACCTTCAAGGTCGCGAAGGTCGATATAGGTCGGGCGGCCGCGTGCACCGCGCGCCGCAGAGGTAATGGCTTAACTGGAAAACGCGGTCGTGAATATTTGACGTGGCGGTGACCCAACCGTCCCGTCCGTGGGGCGCGCCGGGGCCGCACCTGCCGACCTCCAGGGTCGCGTCGAGACGGGCCGTCAAGGCGGGCGAACCGCGTGTGCTCCTTCGGGGGAGTTTAGGTTAAACGGTCAGAAACCACCACTCAATCGAGGGTCAAGACATGATTGAAGTCGTCACTTTTCATCGATAAAATGCCACCCGCAACACAAGGCGGTTGTTAGTCGTTACCGTGACAAAGTTCTCGACCAACGCGCGGGGAGGGGGAGCAGCGGGGAAGCCCACCGATGCACGCTCAGCCTCGGAAACGCGGCCACGCGGACATGTCTATGCCATAATTACAAATTCATAGCGTGAGGGTTCGGGTGCCATATCTCGCGTCATCGTCCGCGCCGCGATACGTTAGTGGGTCGCGCAGGGGTGAGGCCGGCAGGGCCCGGTCACTGTCCGGACGATATCGACGGCAGGAGCTGCACAGGGGAGGACCCCCGGGCCGCGGGACCCCACTCACCTACATGTCGCACTTCCGTGTCCGCCCGCGCCCGGCCCCGGCGTCCCGTGCCGCCACGGCGGCCGGCGCCGGCCGGGGGTCAGCCGATTGATTTGTCCACGCCTCGCTGTTCGACCTAATTTCTGACCCGCACCTGCACTCGGGCCGGGTTACACTACGGCAGCTGCCGGCCAGCCTCGGCCCCGGGGCCGGCTGAGGGGCTGACGCGGTGCTCGTGTCTGTCCCCGCAGCGGGAGTGCCTCTCCATCCACATCGGCCAGGCGGGCGTGCAGATGGGGTCGGCCTGCTGGGAGCTCTACTGCCTGGAGCACGGCATCCAGCCCGACGGCCAGATGCCGGCCGACACGACGGTCGGCAGCGAGGGCGACTCCTTCAACACCTTCTACTCCGAGACGGCCAACGGCAAGCACGTGCCCAGGGCCATCTTCGTGGACCTCGAGCCGACCGTCGTGGGTGAGCACGCGTCGCAACGTTGGCGTTGAGGAGGGAGGACAGCCCACCTGAACTTGCTCTGACGCTCTCCCCGCTCCAGATGAGGTGCGCACGGGGGCGTACCGCCAGCTGTTCCACCCGGAGCACCTCATCACGGGCAAGGAGGACGCCGCCAACAACTACGCCCGCGGCCACTACACCATCGGCAAGGAGATCATCGACGTGACCCTGGACCGCATCCGCAAGATGGCCGACCACTGCCACGGCCTGCAGGGCTTCCTCATCTTCCACTCGTTTGGCGGCGGCACCGGCTCGGGCTTCGCGTCGCTGCTGCTCGAGCGACTCTCCGTGGACTTCCCCAAAAAGAGCAAGCTCACGTTCTCCATCTACCCTGCGCCGCAGGTGGCCACGGCCATGGTGGAGCCGTACAACGCCATCCTGTACACGCACCCCACCCTGGAGTACTGCGAGGTCGCCTTCCTGGTGGACAACCAGGCCATCTACCAGATCTGCAAGGAGAAGCTGGGCATCGAGCGGCCGCACTACGTCAACCTCAACCGCCTCATCGGCCAGATCGTGTCCTCCATCACGGCCTCGCTGCGCTTCGACGGCGCGCTCAACGTGGACCTCAACGAGTTCCAGACCAACCTCGTCCCCTACCCGCGCATCCACTTCCCACTGGTAAGCAAAGTCTGTGTGTTTTGCCTTCATTTTTACTCATACTGTATGGTCCGTCTGACGAAAGAACAGCACACCGACTGGCTGAAAAGCGTGGTGAAGATAGGGGCAACTGTGTTGTTCTTTCGTCAGTACGACTATAACTGTCACTAACTCTTCTCCGGCACCTGCAAAGGCGACGTACGCTCCCGTCATATCCGCCGACAAGGTCGGCCACGAGAAGATGACTGTCGCGGACATCACCAAGTCCTGCTTCGAGCCGAACAACCAGATGGTGCGCAACATTCGTACCCTTCTAAGGAGCTACTGAACATATTTGACAAAACACCTAAACTAGAAGACAATAATTTCCAAGTGTGGGTAATAAACAGGTTAACTGCAACCCGCGCAATGGCAAGTACATGGCGGTTTGCCTGCTCTACCGCGGGGACGTGGTTCCGAAGGACGTCAACGCAGCCATCGCCCTCATGAAGAAGGAGCGCACGGTGCAGTTCGTCGAATGGTGCCCGACCGGCTTCAAGGTACGTACACACGAGGCGAGAGGTTATGGAGGGCTAGGTTGGGCTTAACTCTTTCCGTGCGGGACAAGTTTATGCTGTCCCTCTAACAGGCACGGGCCTCACTTTTGGAGGTTTCAATTTCCTTTGGAGGCCTTAGAGTACTACATGCAACAGGCATTACTACCATGGTGGGCCCCAGAGAACGGAATGTGTCCATTTGTCGATTTGACTACTCATCCGCAGTTCTGTCACTTATCACTCACCCAAAGAGCGAAGTAATGCTGCGATGACCTTGCGAATCACGAAGGTATCCTCACTTTTCTCCAAAGGTAGTAACAATAAGTAACAATAATAGCTGCTGCGCTTTGCAGAACCGTGCTTCGCGTACGGTCCACACACGGCGCGAGGTGAACGCGAACTGACGAGCGATGAGCACCCCCCCCCCCT